CACTGCTTTTTTCTTAAAGCATTTGTAAATTGGCTTATATATAGCTTATATATAGAATCAGAGAAACACAGAAAGGCCCAGGCTGGAAGGGACCTTAAAGACCATCTAGTTCCAACCTCCTTGCCATGGGCAGGAATACCACCCACTAGACCAGTTTTGAACTGTCGATGTGGTCCAAGGATCCCAGCCCCAAGCAGTTGTGTTAAGTTAGTATCTTGGCTCCCACAAGAACAAGTGATGGGGGTGAGATTCATCTTTCTGCTGAAGGCTGGTCAAGATTTGCAGACCATTATATATAGCATTATATATAGCATTAAATTATACGAAGCTTTATTTTGGTTCTTGGTAGGACTGTTTATTCCATTTCCCTGATTTGTGGAAGGGTTGCCTGAATGAGAAAATACAGATGACATAGGTGGAAGATCTCTCCCTGGGTCCCTGACACCATTAACTGCATTGCCCACCCTTGAGTTTCTCCTCTCCATCTCATCCATCCTGATTGCCACCTTAGGCCAAGCCATGAGGTGTCCCCTCCTCTTCAGAGCATGGTCCCTGGTACCCTCTCTGTCTAAAGCCTGGAAAAGCTGAATCTTGCCATTGATTCTTGCCTAAAACAGTGTAGGAGAGCATATCTACTTTTGCTGGGCTCACAGGAAGAGCTGTTGGAAGGCACGAAGGGTCCTGGAATGAGTGGCACCCTGGCCCAGATGACCACTGCTAGAACACCTCAGATTTGATGTAGAGGTGGCACTTAATTTAATGACATGTGCTAACTGTTAACCTTGTTAATTTTGCAGTGAAGACAAGATTTCAGTGATGCTCTAAAAAATGAAGGGTAAACAAAAGCTGAATGTAAAGCCCAATGTAGCAAGATTTCCTCTGCAGAATGGATGCTTGCTTTTTCATTGCACCAGTTGAATTCTCTAAAGTAAACAGAATAACCAATTTAAAGCAGATGCATGGAACAACAATCAGGTTTCATTTCTGGTTTTAATCTTTTTGAACCACAGCATTTGGCACTCAGAGCTCAAAGGAACTGCAGGCTGTATCAGGAGTTTGCCGTAACTTAGCAGCTTGGAGGAAGCAGATTTGTGACTACATAACAGGGAGAGATGAAACAGCTCTGGTCAGATAACCGGATCACAATAAAATATGCAAGTTGGAACCTAGAGACAAATGAACATCCAGAGCTGCTGCCCATGAAATGTTACCAGATGCAGCTTGGGAACAACAGAGCTGAGCAGTCAGTGGCCAGCTCCAGCACTGCCTCTGAAGTGATGAAACAGTGAACTCAGGAGTTTTATTGGTAGTTACTATGCTGTGTGCCACCAAAAACAAAACAAAACAAAACAAAACAGACAAAAAAAAAAAAAAAAAAAAGGAGAAGTGTCACGTGAATCAATGTTATGTGAAATCTGGGCTCATGAATGAAGAGTAGTACGATACCATTTCAGTTCCCTTTGTGATTTTTGGGAGCGCCTTCTTTTTCTTTACAAAGCGGCAAAACCAAAAAACCTTATGAAAGCCACATGGGCCTGATTTCCCATTTCCCTGCTCACTGTGCCATCGTTTACCTCAGAGGCTTTGCATCGCATTGTGTGACTACCCACAGCTTCTGATCCCGTGAGGCTGAAGTCATTCTTCAAACAGCAATCATCTTTAAAGGACTTGATGGAGGGGGAGATGATGCCAAGCAAGACAGAGAAGCCCACACAAAGAAATGTCTTTCAGACAAGCTGGAAATTCCCTGGAGACCAGTCTTGTGACATGGTTACACCATCACAGACACTTTTCCAAAACAGTGGCTATGATGGGTGCCTCTTGACAATTTGCCTGAGAAAAAAAGTGAAAAGCAGGGTGTTACTTACCTGTGTGTTCACACTGGGTTGCTGGGACATTTGCTGAGAGCAGAGATACCCCAAAACAGTATTGGAGGAAAGCTTCACAAATTTGTTGGGACCTCTTTGGGTGCCCAGGTGAATGGCAGGCTGGGCCCACCACTGCTGTGTCCACCCATCTTTGGAGAGGCAGGTTATTTCAACTATCTCTCCTTTGTTCATGTCAAGAGGGAGAGAGGGCTGTGGCTGCAGTAGTAGGGGAGGAATGCAAATCAGAGGCATGCTCTGAATGAAGTGTTAAGGAGCAGGCTGGTATGCATGAGGGTAAAGCCCAATCCATTGCTTAGCAAATGAGTTTTCTCTCATTTGCCCTTTGTTTCTGATTCCTTCTTCACTTTTTTTTTTTTTTTTTCCTTTTTGAGTGATTTATCTTTAAGTGATTTATCTTTATGTTCCCCTGTAAGTAGACATTAAGTAGCAGTAAAAATTCAAAGGCATCTCTGTCATGGTGTCTAATGAACACCACTAGCCTGTAGTGAAGATATCTACCTTGTCATGTTCACTGAAGGCTCATATCCTGATTCAAACTATGGTCTACTGATGTTTTTTTCTTCCTGGATTTACAGCTCTGGACGGTGAGATCACAGCACAGCCTGATGTTTCTTATCCTTTCCAAATGTGGAGAATGACTCCCTTTTGCAGATCACATACATGTAATTCATTTGTGTTCACAGCCTCCCATTTGGATCTCCAGGCTTTTTTAAAAACAACTCCACTCCTCCCCCTTCTCCACTGCTTACGTGTAGGTTCAGCATGCATTAGTCTATTTCTGTATAATAACACTCACAAAACAGCACCAGAAATTATGAAACCACTTAAGCTTTCAGGCAAAAAAAAAAAATAAAAAAAATCTGAAACTGTTTATATTCACAAATGGTACCTATTTAAACAGTTCTGGCAACTATTGCTTCCTCTGGTAGCAAGTTTAATTGAAAAAAAAAAAAGGAAAAAAAAAAGAAAAAGAATTTAATTCTGAAAGGATAAATATGACAGCAGATATTTACAGAAGAATTGGACTGTTTTTATGAAACGAGCATTTTCTCCACAGCTTTCCAAATGGTATCTAAACAACTGGACTTGCAAAAGATGAAAACACAATCTATTAGTCCAGCACAGAAAAGATATAACCCCAAGCGTTCTTGTAGTAACAGCACATTACCGATAGAGTGGAGACTGCAGTGCCATTCTTCTACCCCATAATTCTCTTTTATTTTAATAAACTCCTTCTGCAACACAAGGAGATTGTTATGTCAAGTAGGTGAATAATTTCTGCATAATATTTTCCAAAAATGCATGAAGTAAGAAGAGAAAATACATAGGCTTTGCTTGTAGAAAAGGCACTTAGCCCTTGAGAAGCGTCAAAGAAACTTAGAAGTGTGGAACAATGAGCAAGGTTTCCAACCCAGAGCTTGTGCAGTGCAGCCCTTCCTCTGTAGTCTCACTTTGAAAAAGGAGAAAATAGGTACCCCAGGACAAAGCAGAAGACAAAAAAGCAGGTGGATGTTTGCATATTGTGATGGGCATGATGACAACCTTACCAACTGATAGGAGCTTTATCCTGAGTTCTGCTGAGAAATAACAGTAAAGCTGTATTTGGATGCTACATGAACTCAATTATCCCCTTCTTTAGAAACAATGCAACAAGAGATGGCTCTGTCTTGCTGGTTAGGTAAGGTATGAAGGAGAGATTAAGCCACCACAACTTCCAAACCAATGAGCAAGAGCAGTTTGCTCCTTTCCGTAGCAGGCTGCTGGTTTTCTTGTAGCATCCTAAGGGACATCTGGGTGGTGTGGCAGGTGCCTCCTACAGCCTTGGACAAACAAGTGGACACCTAGACCCAACTGTGTAATGAGTGCATGCTGCCAGCCACCTGAATTACAGTCATGGAGAGCAATGACTCCAGTGACACCTTCCTTATGTCCTGAGACTGGGGGGATCAGTCTGGGACTGATGCACCTTCAAGGTGTTGATGCTGCACTCCTCGGACAGGCCCTCCAGTGCTGCCCACGATGGATGGTTTTGCTGCACTCTCATTTGCACTTAGTGATTTCTAACACACCTAGCCTAAGTTTATGATGTAGGGAAAAACCTGGTAAGGAATGATATGCAAATAAAAGAGGCCTGAATGAAGGTTGCTTATTTTTGCTTGTTTGTTTTCCTAATGTTGTAGTTTATGAGCTGTTAATGTAATAATGCATCGTTATTTATTTCCCCTAGACATGCATTTCTACGCTTTTTGAATACTTGAACTCATTTGAAATTTCCTGATAAATATGCTGCAACTTCTACAGAGACTAACAATTAACATAAACATTTTTAAAAGATAAATCTTATTTTTCAAGCCTTTGAGCAACTCAATTAATTTTCATGCTAATTGAACTCTATTCCAATTCTTGGGTTTCAAACCGATCTAATTATAATCTGTGGGTGGATGCTCCCCCTACCACAACCTTCCCCCATATTTCAGAGTTAAACTCAGTTCGCTACTTGTTTTCTTTTTCTAGGATCTGAAGTATCAGACTGGTAAGAATAATGCAAAAATACAGAAGTGATTTTTTTGTTTGTGTTTTTTTTTTTTTTTTTATTGTTGTTGTTTAGGCAACTTTTCTATCAGGAGAGAAATAAAAGACATAAAGCTGCGGAGAAAAAAAAAAAAAAAGACAATTTATCATTATGCAACATGATGATAAAGGAGAGTTATTCACCAGAAATTAAGATGCCCTTTTATCCCTGGTGACTTTGACCACTTGCAAAGCCTTTAGGCACCCGTAAAGTGTGGGCCTGTCATTCCTCTGATATGCCTTTGACAGAGAGGAGTGTCTTCACCCTAAAGGCATCTGACCATCCTGTACTCGGGGCTGATCCTCGCTGTACCACATGACATCATTCCGCATGTTTTAGTGGTTACCGATTGCTTTGCTGGACAGTAAAAGAAGCTGATCAAAGCTGAGTTCAAGAGATACGTTGATGATATATTTTTTGAAGCTCTTCCCCTAACCAAGCCCTGCAATCTCCTCCAGAATTAACAAAAGGCGTATGCTTTGTAGGCTTGCAAAGGGAAACTGCTTAAGTTTGTTTTCTAATTTTTATTTTATTTCCAGGGTACTGGCTTGCTCTGAATATATCTTTGTCCCGAGCACTAGAAGAACAAAGTGCTAAATATTGCATCATGATACCAAGCTGCTGCTGGGAGAGGCTCTGCAGATGGAGCGGAGGGCCATGGCATGCTGTGCATTCCTTGCTTGCAGTCAACTCAGCTTAAAAAGATAAAATGCAATCTGCTGCTTGCTATCTGTCATGAGAAATGAAGCCTGATAATTTTGGAGTAATGTTTAGCTTGCCATTCTTGGGCCATTACACTGAGTTAGCAGTGCTAGGAGAAGGGATTTATTTCTTTCTCTCTCTCTTACTGTAGTAAGTCTCAGATTAATAATGCTGCAGCCTTCGAAGTCTGTTTTGTTCATAGCTGCTGGCTGGAGAACAGGCAAAAACAAAACAATGATCAGATTTGCAATGAACTGGGCATTAAATCCCTTCGAAAAGTGTCTCTTGGCACCACAGTGAGGAGCTATTAACAACATTCCTGGATGACTGTAGAAAAATAACACATTTTTTATAAATGACTATAATGTCTTGGGTTAGCTACCTGACAAATAGGTGTTTTCAGTTTTTTTAACAGCCAGTTCTTCCTGCAGAGGCCCTGTTCCATTGCTGCTTTATAGGACCATAAAAAGGAATCAGACCATACTTTAAATGGGAATCAGGCCTTCGGGAGGCAGCCACCAGGACAATCTCAGCATGCCAGGGCAGCGTGCATCAGCCGTGCCCAGAAGTGAATGGGAACGAACAGCTGTGGCATTTGATTGCATCCTCAACTACAGTGTATTAAGAAATACCCAGAAAGTGAAAAACTCTAAAGAAAAAATAGCAGCTAATGGTGGGGACTCCGGCAATAAGGCTGACTTGGCTTAGAATAACTAATGACTTTTAGTTGTGACTATCCAGAGCGTCTGAGTTGACTGCTGTGTTAAGTTCACCACTTGCTTATGGCTGATCTTCTTGGGCGAGGATCTCTGCTTTTCCAAGATAGTGCAAGCAAAACTTCAAAAATCATCCTAAAGGTTTCACTTTCAAAATTACATTAGTTCTTGTAACTTTTGAGCCATTGTTCCTTGTATCTAAATATAGGGATGTGAATTGCAAAGTCAAAAATTGTATGCTGAAAATTTTTCTGACTTGTACAGGATGCTTTTTAGGCTACTACGTTCATTGTGAGTGCCTGCTACATACAGGAATGGGAGTGAGAGTTGCTTAAACCAGTTCAGAGCTTACTTTACAGAACATCAGCTACTGCCTCGCTGGTGTTAGGTGTTAACTATTAGACGGAGGCATCACTCCCTGTTGATAGGGCAGTGAACACAGGGTAGTGATAGGGCAGCGATAGAGACGCTGGTAGTAGTTGTCTGACTGGACAGGTATTGTAAGCAATGAAGAGAAATATGGAGGGAACAGGCTGTCTCATAAATCAGAGCTTTCCTTCTACATTTTGAAGCACTCAGTGAATTTAAAGTCTCCAGGAAGAAGCAATGAAGAAGAGGGAACAACATCATGTCTCTTTGTTGTTGTTGTTGGAGGGTGCTATCCGGGTAGAGTTGCCACCAAACCACCTTTTGTTTAGAGGAAGAGTTTCATTTTTCCATGTGTTATATTTCTATGCAGTGAAACATTTATTCCAGGAAGCAAGCTTATGCACGTGTGGTTCAAGGAGCTGAATTGTTTTAGAAGAGAACGCATAGCAAACCAAGATATGTCAAGGGAATTAGGACAGAGTTCACAAGGGAAATTTTGGCATTGCCATAGCTGACTGACAACACAGCAAGTGGGAAGAGCACAGGAAGGTCACGGAGTGGTCAGTTTTCTAAAGATGGAGATGCCAGAAGCACAGACACAGGCAGGACATACTGACTGCACCCTTAAAAGGTCTTTGCTACAAGAATGCTTAGTGGGGGGTAAAAAATTTCTTGCCTCGTCTTACTGGAAGAGGTGGGAAATGAGGAAGTTTGTGGGAGTAAAATGCATTGCCTTGATCTGACCATTCCCTAACGTCACTCGAGGGTCCTGTCTAATCCCTCTCTCTGGCGATGTTGTTGTCCATCTGTGTTTATCTCTACTCTGAGTGTCCCATCGGCTTTTAAATTTGTGGATGTGCTCCAGATTCAGTGATGAATTTGTACTTTATGATATTTATATCTCCACCCTTCCTTGATTGTTGCACAATAATTCATGCTGGAATTTCTAACCCCAGGTTTTTAAAGAGGTCTCACTGATTTGGGGGGTGGGGAAGGGAGAAAGCAATTTCTTCCTAAAAATGTACGCATCTCCAGCACTAGAGAAGAATACAACTACAAATGAGGCAGTTAACTTTGAAGTGTGTCATAGAGAGGCTGAACCTCAGCAGATTGTGAGATTTGTGAATTATAGTGGCATGAAAAAATGTGCCCTAGAAAACAAGTAGTTGCAGTTTGCAAAAAAAAATAGGAAACAAAATCCAGAGGAGCATGATCCAACATGGGGGAAAGCAAAGCTTTGGCACATGTCTAGCAAACAGTAGTGAGGCAGTCAATATATTGATTGTGCAGCAGGTAGCAGAACAGAAGAGAAAATGAACGGAGTATTTATTTTCTAGATAAGTCATGTCATATGCACCCCAGCAGCTCTGGAAATGGACAAGTGGTCTCAGAGTAATTTGTGTTACTTCCAGCTGTGAGTCTGCCTGGTGGCCATCAACTTCCCCAGAGGTACAGCTTTGGTGGGGCTGTGCAGAGGTCTGTATCTTCCTTCTGCTTTGGTGGTGTCCTGCATGCCTGTGGTATCATCTGTACATGTTTTACCCCATCCACCCTGGTACATCCTTCCCTGCTCCTCTCCCTGGGGAAATGAGCTTTCCCTCCAGTAGGACCAGAAGCATTGTGGTGGGACATTGAACCGTAGAGTTTGCCCCGGTGTTCTTACTGAGCATACCCAGTCTGGCATGATTAGTAGGGACTTCTTAGATAAAGTGCCAAGAAATACAAATATACTAAGAACAGGGTGAAGAAAGATTGAATACATCTGTGCTAGGAGGTTGTATGGCCCAGGAGCAGCAGATCTGCAGCATGAGACACTTGGAACCAGGAACACTGGTGATGGGCTTTCCTAGTAGCTCTAGTGTGGCCCTGAGAAGGTTGATGGTTGGAGTAGAGTCAGATACCTTTCTGGATCGTATCTTGGAGTTTGATATCAACTGAGGGGGCACTATTCATGCATTCTGAGGCTGTTTCTCCATGTAAACCAAAGTTTAGGGAATGGGGATACTAGAAAATCTGTTTCAAAAGTACACACATGGTCTGTGTTAAAATGCTGAAGTAGACACACTATCTTGGGCTGGAGTCAGCACCAGCTGCCAAAAAGTGAGCATCTGACAGAAGAAGACAGAGGGACCTGTGTAATGAAAAAAGAATTGTGAGCAGCTCTGTGGTAAGAAAATCTGCAAACAGGCTACATTGTCTGAAAAAAAAAAAATATATATATATATATGTGTGTGTGTGTGTCTCTCTCTCTATATATATATTCTATACTAGGGACATGCTCGCAGCCCCAAGGCATAATGTCATTGTGATCCTTCCTCCTTGCTGTCACCACTTCTAATGTTCCCCCTCTGTAAAGGCCAAAAAGGTCAGCGATGCCTTCACCTCCCTTTCTCAGGAAATTCCTTCTGCATCCATCATGAACGTGGTGCTCTGACAATTGAGAAGCATAGAAGCTCCTTAATAGGTCTGCTACAAGGATAACAGCTGGGTCTTGCGTACAGCCTAAGCAGTCCTGGACAGCCATGTCACTGAGATGTTGCTCACAAGGTCCTTTGATTTGTGCTTGCAAGAAAATTGTATACAGCACCTACAAACTCTTCCCCAGTCAGCTATGGTAACAGGCCCAAATCATTCATACAAAAGAAGACAAATTTTATACTATTGCAATAAGGTCTAAAATGACTCAGGAAGAGAGCCCAAGTGTTAACCTCCAGTGACCGGGTCTGGGTCTAACTCCCTAAAAAGGAGGGAACAGATAAATGTGCAAGTGGCACTTGATCTAGGTGATGTTTTTCTGAATCCTTTGGATATCTTTATACAGAAACCCTACAGTCTGAGAGCTAAAACAGCATGTAGGCCCAGATTTTCCCTTAAAATCTTCCCTGACGCTCCTAAATATTTGGTGTTCAGGAAAGTGAAGGAGGATGGAGAGCATTTTAAGATCCATATCTGAAACCAGCACAGAGCCTCTTTCCCACAAAGAATCATGAGTAGCCAAGTGCACTCCAGAGATGCTCCGCATCCTACTGAACTCCCCAGAAGCTGGTCTTTATCACAGATAAACAACAACTTCTGTTCCTGTATGTGGCTGTAGGAATCCAGATTTTGAAGTTATCTCAAAAATATGTAGAAGTGAATCAGTGAATACAGTAATCACTAATAGAAGGAAAAGACGATGCTGGGAGGGTAAACGAGAGTTATATTTTCCCTCCACAAGTACAGAAAACTTCCTTCTCTGGTATGGCATATATAGGTCAAAAGTACATGCAATATAATGAGTAATGGACTACATGTCTGCAAAAATGCAATTACTGTGTTAGGTATTTAGTGTAATAAATTTACCAAAGCAGAAATAGACACCTACAGAAGCTGTCTATAATATATCCTCATAGCTCTCCTAAAGTTTATTTTTGGGTTTGCTTTTATACTATTCATTTATTGCACAGAGGCTAGATTTAAGGGATCAAAGTATGACTAACAGTTACAAACTTCTGACTGAATATTTTTATTCTTAGCCTGTCACAGGCCGCTATTTTTAGTCAGCTGGAACAATGACAGGGTTATTAGCATCAGTAATTTCTGGTGTTTGTGATACATTTTTAGAATCTTACCCAACAGGAAGTATTCCCAAATATTTTATTTAATATGTTCAAAAAATCTGGGGAGGTTGATTTTTTAATGTTGACTTTATTGCATGTTATAGTTTCAAGACCAAGAAGGCCACTATAAATTTGCTATTTATGTTGTAGTAGAATATTGCAGAAACCAGACCAATAAACAGAAATGGTTAGGATTTTTATAGCAGAATTGAGCAAGTTGCACAGTTGCTGGCATCCTTAAAGGGACTGAGCACACTCATATACCACGCTTTTATTAATTATAATTATATAATATTAGGAATATTAATTTCATTATATGAAATAATATTTAGAGTTAGTTATCAGTACTTTTGAGAATCAAACCATGTATCTGTTTGCTTTAGTTTCCTTGAAGTACTTGGGGTTTAATGCAGTTATTTACAACATGATAACGATATAGGAAATAATCTGGGAATCAAAATACCTGAATGCTTTTCCAGGAGGAGTGGGTGACCATGAGCAAAACAAGACATCACCTTTCTTATACAACAGTGTCCAGAAATTACTCACCTTTGTGCAGTATGTTGTGATTCACAGATGGTAAATGGTCTACAAGAAATATGTTTTGTTGTCTCTATAAAGATGTAATGACGGAAATGGTTACTTCTGTGAGAATTAAATACAGTCAAACAATACATTCAGAGTTAACAAGAATTTATGTCTTCATCTTAAACACATGATTTAGTCGGATCCAATTCTTAGATCTAGCTGGATCAGACTGTTGTTCCTGCAGAAAGCTTCACATTAGTTTAAACTTCAGTATAATCATACCATTTTGTTTGAATATCTGACCCAGTGAATAATGAAGTCAGTTGAAAACTCACATTGAATCCAAAGAAATCTTGAACAGATGGTATGATTTGCAATGGGAAAAGGATGAGTAATTGACATACATGTCAGGTAATCTGCTACTTACTAGAAAAATAACATAATTAAAGGAGGAAAAAGCGTGGGAGAGCATGAGTGTGAGCATGTGGACATGAGCCTGCACTTGATATCAGAGTGTTTGCAGCTTGCCTGTCATTTTTCATATGATTTCTTAAGTGGTATAATTATACTTAGTGAACTGGGTATAATGAGAACATGATGCAAAATGCAACATGCAAACATTTTAGCTTAAATTAAAACCTACTTTTGCTTGATCTCTGGTTTTGCTTTCAGTATAGTAAGGTGTTTGAGGAGATAGCTGTCAATAAAAAAATATTTTCTGATAAAATGAGGTCTTTTTTCCTCTGACCACTGTGTATTTCAAGGCTGCCAAAATCTCTTCTCACTCGGTTTTTGGCTGTAAGAATTCAATAGTTATTTAATTTTATCCTTGTAGATATTGTGTGGTTCTAGAACCTCTGCAATTCACTCATTTCAGCACAATATGATTGTCCTCTACACTTTTCTGTCACCTGTTGCAAGTATGTAGTATTTCTGCAGTAATTTGTAAGTCAGGTCATATTTATTACAAAGCAAGATTAAGTTACTCAAGGAACTCAAGAAAGATGTTAGTGGCCAGGCAAAATCATTCGAAAAGATGTATGAATATGAGTAGGTGCCTTTTCTGCAAGATTTCAAGAATGATTTTGATATAACTGGTGACATATAGCAACATATACTGCAGGCAGAAGGTTGTAGAGGCATCCTATTATTTCAGGGAACAGCTTCCTTGAAGATAAACTCAGCAAACCTTTATTTCCCCTTCCCAAAATTCCCCTTTCCCCCCTACTAAGTTGGTGGGTTAATTATGATTAAGCACCTTGCACTGAGTGCCCACACTGTTGCTGTCATTTAAACGTGCAGCCAGCTCTTTGCATCACCTCCATTTCTGCAAAGTGCAACGCTGGGAATGGCAGAAGTAAAAGCCCAGCAAAACTTGAGGAGGAGACAGGCTGATGGAGATTGGGGCTCAAACAATATTAAAAACCCCAACTGTGCCTGCTATTCCTTCATACTTTAATGCAAATATGAAATAATAGCAGTAAAATGGGAAGAATCAGCAGTAGCACATAGGTGCATGCCAGCAACATGGGTAATTGTCATCTACACATCAGATGCCTAAAATACCACACGAGACAATGAAGAAAACAATGCAGAGGGCTCACTGCTAATCCGGCCTGTGGCTTCTTCACAGTTCACTGCCACTGAAAAGAGCACTCCAAATGCTGAGGAAAATGTTGTCCGTTGGAATCACAGCTTCTGTTTTACTGCCCAGGGATTCTGGGTTGCAAAACAGGCACAAAAATCCTACCAGCAATTCAAATAATTTAGAGGTCAGTACAACATCCGTACCAAAAATAATATGGGCTGGTCTGCCTGGAATTTAGTGAATTGTAGTTTTGCTTCCAAAAGCACAGATATGAGCTGAAGTCTTATTTTTAAAAGTTATTACACGGTGGATCATCAGGCAGCAGCCCATGGGCATGGCCACCCCACAGAGCTGGGCACAGACCCCTGGCAGCCTCTCAAGGGAATGGTGTGCCTCCACAGCACAACGTGGGGACGCAAGAAGGTGCTGGCTCATGTCCCAGCTGCAACATAGATGGCTTTATGCGGGGCTGCACCCAAGCTAATAATCCCTTTTTTGAAGCCAGGCCAATTAGCAATTATATTGCATCCGGCTCTGGAAATAGGTAGCTCAGGGCGCTTTGCCTCAATACTCCGTTGCTGGGTGTAGACATGCCTTAAACCACAGCACAGTGCTGAAGAGACACCGAGTCCTACGTTGTTTTTTAAAGTCACCTCTGAAAATCATGATGGGTGTGGGGGGATCCTTCATCTTACTTAAGTTTCTGTTGAAATACACTGCTTGAGGTTCTTCAGCTCATCACATGTCAACCTTGGCCAACACAAGTCATTAAGGCTTCCTGTCTAGGAAGCAGGCCGAGCCCTTCTGATTTAAGAGTCCCAGCAGGGCAGGGAGGCACGTAAGTAGGTAAGACATCGCAATGGTGACTCCAGGAAGGAGCAAGGCCACCCGGGCAGGAGAGAAAGAACAAGGCATCATGCTCTGAGTTTCCTCTTCTATGAGATTAGAGAAGGCCTCAGTTCATTTCATTACAACCTCCTCCCCCCCCAGCTCATGTAGCATGACCCAGTCTCGAGTTCTGCTCTGGGCCTCTGCACTCTCTCCCTCTCTGTCTCTGTCTTCTCGTTTCTACTTTGTTTCTGATTCCCCTGCGCCAGCTGCATGCCCACCATGACATTCAGCAGGAACTTGGGCAGCATCCTCACCCCCAGTGCTGTGATGTGGACTCGGGGGACCTGCCTCAGCCCCCCACGACAAGGGGGGCCAAGGTGCCCGATTATTACAGGTATACATAGTTCCTGCGTTGTCTTTTGTTCTGCGAACTTCTGGTTCAAGAGAATATTATGTGTGAAATTACACTCGTCTTTTTACCAGCAGACCCCAAATATTCATAGTATAATTTACTCAGAGATGCTTTATTTTCAGCCATTGTATGTTGCTTTCATTGGTAAAATAGTAAAATGATCTTGATTGTAATATCACAGTTACTGCTGACGCAACACTGGCTTTGCTCCACTGATTTTGATGAGTTACTCCCATGATGATTTTTTCGGGATTATTTCAGTCAACAGATTTTTGACTTGGAATTTCTGGTTATTTCTGGACAGCTTACTACTGAAGTTTCTCCTCTAGATGCTTTTGAAAGGCTTGTTCCTGCTGCTGAAGCTGTTTGGACTGGAGCTTTCTCCTTCCCCGCCAGGATTCTCCCTTAGCTCAGCGATGCCAGCAGCTCCTAATCCCATGTTTCTGACATCACGGCCAGTTTCCATGGGAACATCTGAGCGCCGCACACACCATGACCTGATTTTTCTGCAGAAACCATATAGGAGAAGGGATGAAATCAGAGGGAGTGCTTTCATTGACATTACATACACAAATACAAATGTATGTTGAAAAACAGCTGGGGAAGAGTGCAAAAACTGGAAACCCAGAAATTATTTTTGTTTTTAAGGCGTAGGATGGAAGCAGACAGAAAGTCTTGTGTGTTTCCTAAATTCCTAGCTCTTGGTCTTGTGCTGGACTTGGGTAGTGTGACTTCACCCAGGCAGCTCACTGCCAGGGTCTTCTCCACATGGATATTAAGGTGCTGGGTTCAAGGTTGCTGTTCATGAAGTTTCCATACTTTTTCCAAATTTGGATAGTTGAAAGAGGACTCAGATTTATTCCTTTTCTTTTACCCCTAGATGTTCTGTGTTGTTAATTTGCTAGCAAACAGAAGGAATTCCTATCCCTTGGAATGATTCATTCAAATTACACAGCACTTTACCTTTCTTTCAGCAACACTTAGGTTTTCCCACTGAACTGAAAATATGCGATAATGTGCTCTGATTTTTTAGATAATTTCTTTCTTCCTGTGCTTAGTTGTCCAACTCTGAAGATCTCTACTCTTCATCTAAGGAGAAATGCTTGTGCTGAAACTGGTGCTGTTAGGATGTAATTTCCTTTATTAAGCTGCACTGACTTCATTGAGCATGCATAAATGAAGCCTATTGCAATGTAGTCACATCTTATCCAGTTATTTTATGTTAAAAAATAAAAACAAAAATATTTTAGTCATATGTTAGTTGTATGTACCTGATGGTGGGAGGGCAGATTACATATTACACTTTCATGAGTCAAAATACAAGCAAATGTGCAAGCATTGGAGAAATTTCACATTATTATCCTGCTTTTCATGGATGCTGTCTGGGGAAGCTATGGAAAAGGGCAGGTATGCTCACTCCTTTTTAACTCTTTTATTGTGACCAATAGGTTCTTATTTGGCATTGGCATATGAGCTGAAACTCCTGAAAAGGAGGAGTTGGCTTCCTGCTGATTACAGCCACCAGTATTCAAATGCTGGAATACATGGCCTGATGTAATCCAGTTTCATAAAATATGTCCAGAACTGGTAAAAAATAATTACTTCTTTAGTGAGAAGCTAACCTGCAAAATCTCGTTTGGTAGGCCAGATTACTCTGCTGTATGGATTGAATGTGCAACTTCTTTGATGACAGCATTTTGTTTAAACTGGTGAATGACTCTCTGCCTTGCCAATTTATGACACTATTTCCCTCTGGGCATCCCTTTTGGCTTATCCATTACTGCCAAGATAAGTGAATTGAATCATCTGGTAGTACTTGAGTTGCACATCTCACCCCAATAAATGGCTGATGGTCAAGCTGACTCAGCTGCTGCTGTATGTTATTCCCCTAAATTTGTTACATTTACTTAATTAATTCATTCCTGCTTTCAGACATTGGAAGCTGATAAGGAAAGGTTGCCCTTAACTCAGTTCCTATTTCTTAACTTAAACATTTGATTAAATGTAGTAATAAAATTACATTAGTCCTTTGAACTCATATCTATCCATGATTCAAAGGATTAAAAGAAGTTAATCCAATCTTCTAAAGAGGTTTTTGAAGTTTTGAGACTATCTTTTTTCTCGGGGGCACACTGTGTTGTGTTAGCCCTCCTTTTCCTTTTTTTTTTTTTTTTTTTGAAATATCCATCACCTATAGATTTGCAAGCCTTGGAAGGGACTGCTGCAACTACTTTATCTACCTGCTGCCTGCCCTGGGCCCTTGTGCTCTCCCATGGGTTCCCACACTACCCTTCATAATGAGCTCTCTGCCAAAGCCCCCACAAAACAGATGATGTACTGTGGAAGACAAATATAACATATACTTTTCCCTTATGTCTTCTTTCACTTCAGTGGACTGACAACCAGCAATAAGACCTGTTTCTCCATCCAGTTCACGAATGCTATGAAGGTTGTATTTTGTTGGCTAAGCACAAAAGGTTGAATATCCCTAAATTCCTCAGATGCCTGATGAATTACCACAGACAATTAACAAAAGAGAGACCTTTCTCTCCTCCCACCAAAAGTCACTACAAAACCTGCACCTGGCCCTAATCTTTTCTACTTGAACTAATTGGTATTCACAGTGGCATATGGAACAAGGCTCCTTTGGCTAATAAAGTATTTCAAACTACAAAGAGATTTCATAATATTGCTCGTTCTTTTTGTCTATACTTTACAATGATTCACCTTCGCAGGAACTGTCGTTCTCAAAAATTTTGAAAACAAGCAAGCAAAGAGCAAGTGAGTCTGGGAAAGCAGGGGAATTTTCATAATTAAAGCTTCCTGAGAAAGGGATCAGAGAACATTAGATTTTGTTCATCTTCTTGAATAATTCATATATACTTACACAAAAATCTGAAGGAGTTTCTAGTCTATGTTGGTACTGTGTAGAAGTGGAAGCTTTATTTATTTTTAAGTAGACATGTCAGGTTGAATTTCATATTGTTACACAAGGCACATAATGTTATTAATATTTTACCAACAAGCTTTTGGAAGACAGTTAATAGCCATTAAGGCCACAAGGCGTCATCAATGCAATTACCTGCTCAGGAACTTGGTGTAGCATAATCAATGAGTCCAGAAAATTCTGCAATAGAAGAAATTATTCTTTCCCAGTGCATTAGTACAACAGCTTCTGGGTCTTATCTTTTAGGAAAGCATTCACTTTTAACATGAAGACAATAGACAACAATGTATTAACCAATATAATACTCTACAAAGTGTAATTTGTGGCTATTGCAAAATAGAAATTCTTATGCTTTCCTTATCCTAGTATCCACTTACTTTTTCAGAGAAGGAGATTTCTCTCCTTTTTCATCAAGAACCAACAGATATCAGGTCTTAACCAAGCAGGTCCAAATCCCTCCAGAGGATGTTTGGCCCTGCATATCTCATCTCCTGGACAGATGCTCCTACCTGCCTTTGAGCTGGGGCTGTCACATCTTTTGTGGACACATGCAAGCGTGGAACACAAACGTTCCACTTTGTATAAAATAATTCAGTTTTTAATGGAGTTAGAGGTAATATTTTCTCTTTTCTTATGTAGTTTCAGTGTTATTTTAAGGACTGGCTTATGTGTGGAAGTAAAACCCCCACTTCTCCCCATTCATTTGAGCTGTAAAACCATGGGGATATGGAGCCACTCTGTATTGCTGTGCCCAGTGTTGAAATAGTTAAGTAAATTAAGACAGCTCCAAGAAGAAGGGTTGGCAGAGCCTCACATAAAGTCATTGCACGATGGGAGTGTTCACCCAGGGAGGCGGGTAACATGCACACAAATGTCCCCAGGCAGATGCTGGAACTTTACCTGTTCTCTAGATGAACAGAGATTAATTAACTGCTGGGCTCTTGGCTAAAAAGCAAGCAGGCCTTTCACTTATATTTTGAAAGACATAAAACCAGCTTTAGTTTGTGAAATAAATAAATAAATAGGAGTCTGGCTCCAGGGGAAGAGTCAAGATTACGAATTGCTGGCGAAGACAGGCACTTCCCTGCAGTTCAATGAGGGATTTGGCAAACACAAGTGGTGAGACTTGCTTGTTGGGTCTCTCCTCCTCACAGGCAGGTGAGGCTAGTACCACCGTGCTGCAGTTCTGTACGTCCTACCATAGGAGTGTAATCGTGGGACCATTTGTTGGAGTTGGTGATGATGATGTCTTCAGGACAAAGCTGTTGCCTACTTTCAGTGTGTACACTAGCTATCCCACATAGGGATATGGCTGGCATTACTTGCAGACAGTAAGTATCTTGATGCTTCCTATCAAATAACGTGCCTTGTTCACGTAAGAGAGATTGGTCTGATTTCATTTCCCACCTTCCCCACAAAGGCTGTCCAGCTAGGGCTATGGCACTCCTGTATGGCATCTAAAATCCTTGCTGCAGTAGTTGCATGCAGCAGTGACTGGATTGGATGTGCTATTGTATTGCTGTGATTCACTTGTAATGATGAGCTTTACCAGCATTTTTTTTTTAGTAAGTAGATTGTTTGAAGCATTACCTAGTACATTTAACCCATAAACAAAGAATCCTTGTCATCATTAAGTTAATATCAAAAGGAGAGGACTCTTGGTATAAAGATTACATATATATCTTTGTGGATTAGGACTTAATAGAAAAAAAGCTCACAGAATTCCTCATTTGTTCCATCCCCAGTCATGCAAGGCACTAAGCAAAACTGTATCTTGTAACAATTGCTCAGCACATGCGAAGAGGAAAGATAATTCAGAAGGCCTTGGCACACAGTTCAGTTCAGCGTCATTCACTGAAAGGGAAGAGAATAGATTTAGCAGAGCTAAAGAAGAAGCTGCAGAAGAGTTCTGACGATCTTACAGTCCACCAAGAGGCGGGGAATTAACATTTTAGGTGTCTTGTAGTTCTGATGTTTTTTTTTGTTTTTGTTTTTGTTTTTTTTAATACACTTTCCAAATCCCAGTTGAATATTTCCCCTTGGATCCTGTTCTCATTCAATGCCCAGTGAGTCAAAGGAAAGTTTATTAGTGACTTCACTGGGCTTTTAATGAAGCATGTAACCTCTGGATATCTCTGAGGGCTTCCTTCCCTGCCTACAAACAATAGTTATTAATGCAGCTTTTTTTGCTTTCTGCAATGTCCATGGCTTGTAAATATAAATATGGAAATTGAAATAAGTTTGTTTAGAATGGTATGCTCAGAGGCCCAAAAGCTGACAAAATGGAGTAGTCATCATAATCTACCAAACCTGCCTTCTATGTGA